AGAAGGTGACTTTTCAGGACATTACCCCATGTCCCCACTTTTCAAAACGCTTATAAATCACACAGAATGGAGTGTATTGAAAATCTGAAATAGCACAAAGTTTCCTGTGAGGGGTAGGTTTAGGGGTAGGGTTGGTGTAGGGCAATAGAATATACGGTCTGTACAGTAGAAAAACCATTACGCCTATGGGATGTCCCCACTTTTCACAAAAACAAACCTGTGTGTGTATGTATGTATGTATGTATCATTTTCAAGTGTGCGAACCTGCAACCTCACGGCCAAAAGTATTCTGCCTTAACCAGCTACATTAATTGGCTGTTTGGCTTGCTTTTGAAAGGGTCATTTATATTATCATGTTCATGTATTAATGCTGCTATTTTAATTGTAAGGTGGACAAGCCTCTGGAACAGCTGGGCATGAATTTAGTGGGGAAAGTCACCAGGACCAACAATGGAAATTAATACATTTGTGTCCTGGTTGACTATTACACAAAAAATAGCCTATGCTATTCTGAATAAATCTGAAGGTTTCTCACTGCACTAATTTCTTTTACAGATTTGGGGCACCAAAGATAATTCTTAATGACCAAGGCACAGTCTGTTAACCAGGTTTGTAGTTTATTGAATGAAGGAAAGAAAAGAAAAAAAATCAGTATCCATGAAAATGTTCATGTGTGCATATGGTTCTGATATGTACACAACATTTATGGTTCATTGTATATTTATTTTAATGTATGTTTTGCACACACCACACAAGGATTTTTAAGCTTTTAGTGCACACATAAATACAACAACAGCAAGGCATATAATAAAAAAATAAATATATTAGCATAAATGAGTAAGTATAAGACAGTAAAACAGAATAGCCAAAGCCTTAACCATCACATTGAAATCGGTAATAAATTTTATTGAAAAAAAAAAAAAGGAAATAAATTTCAAGTTGAAAAACCTCTCTTCTTAAAACGATTTTAAAGTTTCGGATTAAAGACGGTATTTTGAACCATTTGACTTGGATGCAGTTGTGCTTCTTACGCACGCTAGTTCTGATCGTACGTATGGTAACTAGGCAACTACGTAAGAATTGTAGTATGGTTGCGTAAAGGGAAACAGGCATTCCTAGGGGAACAGAATTGACTGCTACACCAGATCTTTTCCAGATGTTGGAACTCCTCCTCAGATTCTCCAATTCTTCTGACTGTGTTCACTGTATAAATTAATATGGATTAATCTTTGTCAAAGCTGTGTTTGTTCTGTTGTTTGCTCTTTGCTCTTCTTGCGCTATTTTAAAATCGATTGAGTTTGTAAACACATACAAATGATAAAACTTTTACTCTATTAAATTTTGCAATTAATCCTCTGAACACATTTACATTTAGTCATTTAGCAGACGCTTTTATCCAAAGCGACTTACAATTGGGGGATACATAAAGCGATTCTTCTTTAAGAGGCAAACAGACACAAGAAGTGGTTGTAATACCAAGTTCTTAGACATTGTTCAAATAAGTACAAGCTAGAAAGAGAAGGAATAAATAAAGATAATTTATTTTTATTTTTATGATGAAGTCAAGTAGCTTCGAAAGAGATGAGTTTTCAGCTGTCGCTTGAAAATTGTCAGGGATTCAGCATTCCGGATAGGGGTGGGAAGATCGTTCCACCAGCCAGGAGTGGTGAACGAGAATGTTCTGAAAAGTGATTTTGAGCCTCTCTGTGATGGTACCACGAGGCGTCGCTCACTAGCGGATCTCAGACTTCTGAAGGGGATGTAAATTCGTAGTAGTGAGTGGAAGTAGGCGGGTGCTGAGCCTGTGGCTGTTCTATATGCAAGCATCAATGTCTTGAACTTGATTCGGGCCGCAACCGGTAGCCAGTGCAAGGAGATAAAGAGAGGTGTAACATGGGCTCTTTTGGGCTCGTTGAAGACCAGTCGTGCCGCTGCATTCTGAATCATTTGTAGAGGTTTGATTGTGCTTGATGGGAGTCCAGCCAGAAGAGCATTGCAGTAGTCCAGCCTAGAGATGACAAGGGCCTGGACAAGAAGTTGTGCAGCATGCTCCGTTAGAAAGGGCCTGATCTTTCTGATGTTGTGCAATGCAAACCTGCAAGATTGAGCGGTCTTTGCAATGTGGTCTTTGAAGGTCAGCTGGTTATCAAAAGTTACACCAAGATTTCTGACCGAAGTTGATGGGGTTCAACACATGCGTGCTGAACCGTGGGCTAGTCACGGGTCACTATCAAATACAATCTGCTCCCTTCACTAAAATGACATGGTTCCTAAACATGATAACAAATAATATAGATAAATAATGAACACATGTCA